TTGCCAAGAAAACAGATTTAGGATCACGAATACATGGTTTTAACAGCACAAAGGCCGTTTGTACACTTGGACCTCACCAAATGGACTTCGCTGTTATTAGATTGACTATGTCCTGTGCAGGCATCGATGGACCAGCTCCGTCTTGCTGTTAAGACATATCCAAGTGCTGACTGTGGTTCAGATCATGAATTGTTGGCCAAGACTAAGGTCAGATTATGCACTATCCAAAGGCAGGGCCTCCAAAGAAGTGTGATGTCACCAATAATCCATATTACGTATGCAAAATAGGTTTGACCTACTGGCCACTTCTGAGAAGACATTTGATGAACTCTGGCAGGAAATTCAATCAATCATTATTGGAATTGCAAAAAACAGGAAAGAAACTTCCTCCTGAATGACCTGCCTTCAGCTCCCGGGCCCCAAGTCGGGTGGCTCCTCCTGGGCTTTGGCAGATTTATTGCCTCCTCATTTAGTCCCTGGCAGCCACCCAGGAAAAGGAGAAGGCGATCCATGCCTGATCCTTGAAGAAGTGAGAAAGACTGAAGATCTTTCATACTGAATGAACTCCGTATGCATGACAAGTAAGCCATCAATCTTCTAGCTCCGAAGGGGCTCTTGAGGCCATTGAGCCTCACCCTTCCCAATGCAGGTCAACCAAGGGAAGCCCCCAAGATGGATGACCCAGCGGAGGTAGCCCCACCCCGAGGGAGATGGTTTCTCCTGGCTGACAGCTCTGTGGTTGGAAGAGTCCTTCAGATTGACTGGAGGCCTAAGAAGTAACAAGTGTTGTCCAGTGAAATGGCGCATCTGTCACCAAAAGGTTGCCAGAAGGTGGAGGCGCCATGGGCCACTCGGACCTCTGCTGGCACCTTGTCCACCACACCAGGCAGCCACTTTGCAGGTGTGTCTGGGCCACAGCTGGTCAGAGTCCGACAGGTTCTCCCCCAGCCGGAAGAGGAGAAGCCCTTGAGTGGCTTCTCTGCCTGAGCCTCTCTTTAAATGGGTTCCCCCAAACTTCAGTGGAGATTCTCAGTCATGCAGGTCATAACCGACGCACACTTGTCTCGTCAACCCATCAGGACAGGATCCAGCCATCCCCTGCCTTTGAAGGACAAAGGTCCCCTCTTGAAGGCAGCAGAGTCCACAGGTGACCAAAGAGTGCACATCGGTGCTAGAACAGAACAGCCCTCCCACCACAGAGTGGGAGGAATTCACCACACCCATCGCCTGTCCAGAACGCAGCCATTTCAGATGCCAAGAAGATTCCACCCTTGATGCAGGTGACCGGAGGGCACAAGTGGCCTCCACGAGAGCACCAACAACCAGAGGACTGCAAAGAAGACACAGGCCTTCCATTTCCCACAGCCCATCCCTCCTGTCAGTACCTATCCTTCCATCTACCCGCCATCAGAACCGATGAAGCTGCTTGGATGAAAAGCAAAACATCTTCTTCCTCAAGGGGGGAAAAAAACCCACCCCAGCCCAGTTACCTTTTTGAAAAAAACACCTTTGAGGCTCCCCCAGTTGTGGCAGGCAGGAGTAACGGAGGTGGAGGCAGACTGTAGAATGCAGGGTGCTGATACCGACCCAGGAGGAGGGAGAGCCAAGGGGGACCTCAGGCCAGGCTCCTGTGCCAGGCTCTGCCAGGGAAAGGCATTGATCAGCCTTTCCCATGCATTGATCAGCCTTCTTTGGTGAACTGAGCAAGGACAGACAGACAGAAGGGATCTGTAACCACGAGGGGCCAAGTCAGCTATCCCACCCACAAGAATAAGGGAGGGGCCCCTTGCCCACCCCGCTAGAGCTCGGGAGCCAAAATGAAAGCCTAGGAGAGAAACTCTTGCTGGGCACCAGAGCTGCCTTCCCCACAACCATTCCTAAGGTTGCGTCCCCACAACCATCCTCCAGCTCTTCTGCTGCCCTACGATCTGGGAGAAGCGGAGGAACTGCCTATGGTGGCTGGCCCATCCAGCCAGGACCCCAAACCCAGCCGTTCTCCCTGGTGCGGAGGGCCCGGGACAGTCTGGGATGGATGCAACTTTGGCAGAGGCGAAAGGATGGGATGGCAGCAGAGCTGCGGGACACCGAGCCGCACCTTCGTCCCACTGGGGGCCACCTCCCCCTCCAGAGCCTCAAGGCAGGGATGGAGGCTGCCAGAGGGTTCTGCATGAACGTCCCGAACCAAAGTGACCAGACGGTCGAGGCTTCTTCCTTCCACGGGCCAGCCAGTCCAGAAGCAGCCCACAGAAAGGCCTGGCTGTGCTCCCCACTGCCCAACCCCACGGCCACCGTGCAGAGGGCAGGCAGCTCAGCTCCTCGGAGGAATCCCTGTGGAAACAGGTCATAAGAGCCAGGAAAAACCAGGCCTGGCAGTCTTCAAGCTGCAAAGAAACCGTCAAGAAGCCTTCATTTCAACAGAGAGCTACAGATATTCTATTCGTCTTTTAGTTCCTGTAGGGATGCTGGGCTGTGACATTGGAATTACCAACACCTTTTGTAAATGTACAATTAATGTGTTGAGCAAAGAATACGGAGATAACTGAGCCCTCTAAAATCATTATCTCCAGAAGGAAAAGGGGGTCTCTGATCCACAGACCTCTTTTCTTGTGGCCTCCTGATACTCAACTAATCCTTGGGATCCATTCTGCACCCCCTAGCTGCATTTTTAGTAGAATACTAACAAAATAACCGAGTCGGAAGAGACCTTAGAGGTCTTCTAATCTAACCCCCTGCTTAAGCAGGAGACGCTATACAAGGGGTGTCAGGCTCAATTTCATTGAGGTCTGCATCAGGGTTGTCTTTGACTGGGGGGGGGGGGTGGCCCGAGGGCTCTGCCCACAAAAACATGCTCCCGATCTCCATTTTCAGCTGCAGTGGCCTCCCTGCAACCCTCTGCCAGCAGAAATGGAGATGGGGGGTGGGGCATGCAGCCCTCCGGAACTCCATTTTGGCTGGCAGAGGCACCACAGGCCAGATCTAAGCCCACCCCCCGTGGCCTGAGTCCGCCCCGTGGGCCTTGAGTTTGGCACCCCTGCCTTAGACCCTTCCAGACAGTCCGGTCTCTTCTTAAAAGCCTCCAGTGACGGAGCCCCCACCACTCTGGAGGCAAATTGTTCCACTCCACTCACTGTCAGGAAATTTCTTCTTGATTGGTTTCTATCCGTTGTTTCTTGTCCTGCCTTCTGATGCTTTGGAAAATAGGCTGACAACCCCCTCACTCCCTTCCTTATGGCAACCCCTTAGATATTGAAAGATGGTTATCAGAGTACAGATAGCAGATAATCAAGAGTTGGAAGGGACCTTGTAGGTCATCTAGTCCAACCCCCCCCGCCCAAGCGGGAGACCCTACACCGTTTCTGTCAAATGGGAGTCCAATCTCTTCTTGAAAGTCTCAAGTGATGGCGCTCCCACAATTTCCGATGGCAAGCTATCGTGTCACCCCTGGTCCTGCTTTTCACTAGATTAGCCAAACCCAGTTCCTGCAACCCTCCTTCACACATTTTAGCGCTGGCCCCCGATCACCTTTAAAGTGATTGAAGGGCTCCCTCTGCTGGGAGGAAGGGGCGGTTCTCTAAAACGCCAGCAAAGAGGGAGGAACCCAGAAGCTGGATGGTGAAGGTTTATCTCCTTTGTAGCTTTCAGGGATTTTGGTTCTGCATTTTTCCCAATTCCTGAATTCTGTTATTACCAGTTTGAGATTTTAAAACAAAAACATGTTATTCACTTAAATATATTCTATTTTTTTAATTAAACGTATATGGAATTTATATTTTATGTAACAATCAGATATTTTAATTAAAAAATAACAGCTCAAATTGAGCTGTTTAAAAGTTAGCATCGTAGATGTATAACGCAAAAACTTTCTTTAAACAAAGCTGAATTTCCATATGGCTAAAATGAATTCGAATTTCAGGAAACGCTTTGCAACAAATATTGTCATATGGTTACAGCGCTGAAATATTTTCATTGATGCACAAATGTGCTACTATCTTCTAAAGAATAATTGGAAAAGCTAACTAAAACATTAAAAGTAGTGAAGTTTTAGAAGGTTACATAACTTAAATTTTCAGCAAAAAAAAAAAAAAAAAGCAATTTGGAAACTGCTGAGAAAAAATTCCACAGGACAATAAATGGAAGAAGACAAAGTTGACATTTCTCCATCCAATATGAATAAACAACGCAAGCTAAAGAGAAGCAGAGCAGGAAAAACAGAGGGAGGCACTCTGCACAGATTTGTCCTTCAGTCTGATGTGACGAGGAAAGCCAGGGCTACTTGCTCAGTGTTAGACCGGAGAGACATCATCCAGACCATCTGCTCTGGAGCCCTAAAATGGCACTTCTGGGATCCCAGGTTAGGCTGAGCTTTGAATGGACACACCTGACTTACAGGTATGAAACCCCACTGAAGCTCAGCTGCAGATGGTGGCCTGAAGTTGCCGAGGAGGAGCTCAAGACGTTCACAAAGTTTACACGATCATTAAAAACCTCCCATTTCGAGATGTCCCCAAACTTACTTCCTGCTGCCTATCCCAAGCTTAGCACAGCTACTTGGGGCAGGTGTCACGTTTTTATGCTCTGTGTGAAACCAGGCTGGTTGAAATAGAGATGGATCCAGCCAGCCCCCTAAGCTTGGTTGGCCTTAGTTGGGGTGCCTGTGCAGATTAGCCTCCCGAGCGAGCCCCCTGCTTGGTGGGGGGGCCTGGCCTATGAATACAGTGAAGGGCCACTAAGGGAGCAAGTCGAGGGTGGCGGAGGAGCCTGTGAGGTGCCAAGGCTGCAAAGGTGGGCTGGCCAGCTGCAGGATGCCTTTGATGGACCATAGTTTATGTGGATTAGGGTCTTGAAGAAGAGCATCTTAGGTGGACGAGAACAGGGTGGTTTTATACCACGCTTCCTCTCCTCTCCTCCACCCAAGACAAGGAAACGCACTTTGAAAACCAACCTCCCTTTTATTGAACGTAATGCAGTTAAGTGGTGTTGCGGGGGGAGAGAAAAGGTGAGAGCCAGAACCACTAGACCTAAAGCGGCCGAGTGTGAAACACGATTCTTGCCCCAAAGGGCCAGATGGCATGTCTGGTGCCAAGAAGACTTGGCACGAGCCCTCTGGCTGGGAAAGGCAGCCTCCCTCGGCCAGCTATGCACATTCTGGAGGGGAGGCCAACCCCGTCCTAGCCTGACCCAGAGGAGCCCTTCTGTGGGGGGAGGAGGAGAGAGAAGGGCAGCTGGGGGGGGTTCTCCCCACGGCCCCCCTCCCATCAGGAGGGCCAAGAGAGGGAGAGAGCAAGTCCCTGAGCCAGGGCTTGCTTTGGGAGGGGGGAAATCAATTTTGGGCAGCCCGAAGGGTGTCATTACTAGCTATGTCAGTCATCAGACCAGGAATGGGCAGGGGAGCTTCGGAAATTCCTGGCTTGGCGGGGAGGGGCTTGTTTTGGTTCTCTGGATCATGGGGCGGCTCCGAGCTACCCAAGGGGACTTCTGGCACTGCAAAACAGGAATAAAGGGAATAAAGGACACGGGAAGGAAACCCAGGCCGGGTGACAGTAAAGGGTTTTGCCAGCGATTCGTCCTAAGGCCCCTGGTTTGTGTCTGCGTTTCAGGCTCAACTTTTACAGGCTGCTTTGCGGGATGGCTCTCCCCTCGCCTCCCACCCGAAACAGGCCAGAGCTGCAGGGGGACCCGGCAGAGGTGAAGGTCAGCAAAAGCGGGAAGATCCCGCTTCATGGGCCAGGGAGTTCCGCAGGGGCTTCCTTCCCCGATAAAAGCCCCATCACTGCGTTAGACTTCTGAGGATTGTCGTGGCTGCCGTGGCCGCCTCCTCCCTCTTCCTCTTCTCCTTGATCACAGCGGAAGTGTAATGATGCTTGAATTTTATGAAGAAGATGGGAATGGGGACAATGATGGTCAGCAGGCCACAGAGCACGGCACAGGCCCCGATCACTTTGCCAGCTGGCTGGAAGGGATATATGTCACCATAGCCGATGGTGGTCAAGGTGATCACCGCCAACCAGAAGGACGAGAGGATGTCGTGCAGCACCCTGTCGGGGTGATCCTCTATCAAGTCGGCAAACAACATGAGAGAGCCGAAGAAAAGGATTTCGAAGAGGAAAACCCACAACAGGATGGCGATGTCCTTCAAGATGGACCTGAGCATGTAGGGGAAGACCCTCAGCATCCGCGGGGTCTCCAACAGCTGGAAGACCTTCAGAAGTTTGAGGACGTACACCACGCGGAACAAGTTCAGCCAACACGGCAGCGTTTCCAGCCGGGGTCCATGCCGGCTGAAAAAGAGGTCCAGGCAAACCGGGAAAAGCGCCAGGAAATCCACCACGTTCAGGGCCTTTCGAAAGAATCTCTTCTTGTCTGGGCAGGACACGAGTCGGGTGGCAAATTCACACATGAAGCAGAGAATGAAGAAGAGCTCCAGGTGGAGAAGAGAAGCTCTCTGGGGACACAACGACGCCAGCGAGGGGCGGTGGGGGTGGGTCAAGTTGCCCTGTCCAAGGAAGTCTTCGCGTTGGCCTCCTTTGGCACACAGGATGGCGATGAGGGCAACGTTGAACAGCAGGGATAGGACTGCAAAGCCCTGCGGGGGAAGGGAGAGGGCAAGCGCAGGTCAGTTGCCAGGAGCATCACTCACTGCAAACACCCAGAGCAGCCACAGAGCCATAGACCCCGGCCAAGGACGCCCCCCGCCCCTGAAACTTACAACCCCACCTCTGTTTGTGTTTAAGTGTTTCCTGACTAGTCTTCCCCCTCCTAGTATGATTTGATTGCTTATTGTATCCAAGACTATCATTAAGTGTTGCACCTGATGGTTCTTGATAAATGTCTCTTTTCTTTGATGTACACTGAGAACATCTGCACCGAAGAGAAATTCCTTGTGTGTCCAACCACACTTGGCCAATACAGAATTGAATTCTATCCTGTTCTGTTCCTATTCTATTCTATTCCTTATTCTATTCTATTCTATTCTATTCTATTCTATTCTATTCTATTCTATTTCTATTCTGTTCCTATTCTGTTCCTATTCCTTATTCTATTCTATTCAATTCTATTCCGTTCCTATTCTATTCTATTCTATTCTATTCTATTCTATTCTATTCTATTCT